CTTTTAGATGGACTGAGAACGCATAACTACTTTTTCAACATTCCAGGAAAGTATGCAAGTACTACTTAACCTACGTTTGCATCAGTTTATGTAGATGGCACCTCGAGTTATACTAATGTTAAAAAATAGGTAAGTGAATAGCGGTACACTAAGTTAGTCTTTATGTTCTGTTGCTTGAAGGAACACTCAGAGTAGAGTTATATCGTGGTACATTTACATGGGACCCTTTCATTTATTGAAAGCAGAACTAGTGAATACACAGTGTAGTTTGTAAATGAAATTCTAAAAAAATCTTAGGAAGATATTTCTTGAGCGAGCATTTGATTCGAATAATCTTAGGAGATACTCTTCCGAACATTCCATACTATCCGTAACGCTCTTTCTGCTGCTTGTCAGCGATATGTGAATGCCAGGTACCTTCGGGTATACTGATGACTGCACAGTTGTAGATAGCTACTTGAGTAATGCAAGGGTCAATGGAGAAGAAATAAAGTCTTGTTGAGTGTCCTTGAGTAGCCGTTTTCTTCACACTTAAGACAGTCCGACTTTTCGTGATATATCCATACCGATAGCCGACTGTTTCCAGTCATGAACCTATCTGGAATGGACCTGTCGTCCAGTTAGTACTTCGGTAGATACCTACATTGACTCTATGGCCAAAAATGCAGCCAACACGCCTTCTCCTTTCCATCACCGGGGCAGTAGACTGGGCTTGGATTCCACCTTTATGTTGTGGATATTCCAAGGATTTACACGAAGTGTTATACTTCCACTGCTACTACATTTACATGGCGAACGGCTATGAATTCTCTGAACGCTATAACTTGGGTTTTTGCTAGGCGAGAGTGAATAGGTATTATTTATTAGGTGTACGTGCTCCTTCGTCGACCTTATTGTCACTTTTATTACGACCTTATTGCACTTATGTTTTACAAAAAATAAAAAATAAACCTCTAAGATTACTCACTACGTCAAGTAGATACTTACATGTACTGAAGCATAGCCATTACGTTTTATAAGTTGAATTTTGCAATTTTTTTTCGTCAATGCAGACATTGCATCTTTTATTTTTAATTTACCGTCGCCCGGCCATGTCAAGAAAATTGCGTATACAGCTGTTGTTGTGTATGTGGTATATGATTTGTATTGGCGCGGTACCTTAACACAAGTGTACCAAACATTTGGGTTAAAGCTGTCCCTCTGATGAAACCAAGGTGATGTGCCATAGATTGCTTCGCCATTAATATCTAGAAATTCTCCCATTTGCAGAAGCCGCTTTTGGAATTTTGGTGCTATAATTCCATCTTCCGTCGGTCCTACGTTGATCAAAACATTTCCTAAGAAAAGGTAAACATAATTGAAGCTTAAGGAATTAATGCCGTCTAAGAACGAATGGTGACTGACATGGAGGCGAGTTCATATTATAATATATGAAACTCAAGCAGGTCGTTATTGACCGTCGTCACAAGATGTAGTTAATTGCTGGTAGTAAATAGATTGAGTAGGTAATATTCTATCGTAAATACCCATAACGTCTGTATTTACAGCGACAATGGTCAGCGCGCATCTGCAGGATAGCTCGTAAGGCTTTATTAGAATTCTTTGAAACTTACCATAACAACTGACCGTCGACACAACTGTTTCTATCAGTTCTTCGATGGTGTACACATCACTTAACTGCATTTCATTTCTGAAACCCCAAGATTTCTTATCTAAAGGGAAAACATTCTCCCATTTGTGGCGCATTAAGCTTCCTGTAACAGAGAGGTACTGCATAACAGAATGAAAAAGTTATGAAGTAGAATATTCGCACCCTTGGTGTAATAAGGCTACATCTGCAAAATGATAACTTTTCAGTAGGCAGGCTTATAAATTCTTCCAACAAAATTGGCCGATAACTATTTTACACTTAAATAGGAGAATTTTATATACACATCTTTATTATACAAGGGTACTAATTATTCATACGTTTATAAAAGACAGTTTCGTCAAATAAATAATCTAACGTTAATGACAAATCCCGCTAAAATATACACATCTTCGGGGTTTCGTAGAAAGGACGTAAGTGCCATGTCAAAAAAAAAAAATCAGGGGACCTTGTTTAATGATTTCACAACTGTTTTAAAATATTTACGTACTATTTTAATCTCATTTATAAAACATAAACTTAATTGAAACCAAAATCTTCTCTTTAATTTGTAGATCAGCACGATACTGACCTCATCCTTAGAGTCGATGGCGTGTTGGATAAACGCCAGCAACTCATTGGCTATGAGTTGCAGGGAACTCATAGTCAATTGCGCGCAGCGGCTATTGCAGCGCGGGTTGCGAATTGTTATGATTCTTACCTACTGTGTAGTGGACCATGACCGAATTCGATCGTGTACCGCACCGTACTGATTTTTTATAATTTTGTTTTAAACCGCTACATAATAGAAATTAAAAAATAAAAGCTTGATCATGCTTACTGGGATTAAAATTATCGTGGCAGCTGAAAGTGTCTCCATGGCGACACAGGGTTTCTTTACCTAATCTATCATTTACTACTATTTCGTCTTTAACAGGACTTTCATTGTAGAGCCAGGCTAATATTTCTGGAGTTTTCCAGTAACTACTACTTGCCTCCTCTTCTCCATCAAGCCATAGCACAGATGGTTGGTAGTTGTCAATCATGAATTCAATATCTGGCCGAACAATATTGTTAGTGTAGAAATCAGTTTTAAACTGTACTTTTTTATCACCTAGGTACATTGCGTTATACCATTCCAATAATGAGTAATATACACCAAACTTCATGTCACTCTTTTTTATGGCCTTCGAAAGAACACCCAATATGTCCATCTTAGGTCCGACATCCACGGAATTCCAATTAAGACGCCCTGATGGGAACAGAGTGAATCCATCGTGATGCTTAGCAGTGACAACAACGTATCTGAAATATAGAATGGCATAATTATTTTATTATTCCTAAATAAGAAACTGTAACCGAAGTGTTTTGTTACAAATAGTTTGATGCATATATAGAAATGGGCGTATAGCCGACAACAGGACTTACCAACAAGTTTTACCTTGTTGACAATGGGTTGTAGATAATGCGATTCCGTTTCTATAAGGGGGTCGACTGTGCCTGCCATTAAGACTAAGTAGCATAATTGTAAGTGCAACACGGATGCAATGGGGCCCAGTCTTTATTATAATTATATGTACATACATGTACGTACAAGGTCTTTTATTTCACATATGTCTTAATTTTTGTTGAATGCATTTTCAGATTATAAGTTCATCAGTATCAGAGCAAAAAGTACAAACCTAGCTCCAGATTTAGTAAACAATTTTGCCCACTCGTCGGGTTTAAAAAAAGCCGCTGTGAAATTTCGTGCAAAATCTTTATATACGAATCGAGCACCATAATTTCTCTTAACGAAATCTTTAATTTCTGGATCACCTGAAAAGCAAATTATGATTCCTGTAGTTATAAGCAGATATGAATGTACGTTTTTAAAACGATTGAAGAAATACTTACATTAACTTTCTTAAATAAAGAATCTTGGAAAAAATATTTACCATCAACCCACAGACGCCAGAACCATTCACTTTTAAAACTCGGAACAGAATATACTCCCCAATGGATAATAATGCCAATCTTTGCCGAATCGTACCAATGGGGCAAAGGACGAGTATCTAGATCCTTCCACTCCGGCAAATAGATTCGTTCATTTGGCGTGCTTGTAACATTCGAAGTTGTCAGCATTTTATCGAATGTCTGGGTAGTATTCAAAACTGCTAATAAAATAGACAAATGTAACGCCCTCATATTTCCGTAGAACATAAGAAATAGAATGTAAATAGTGTATCAACATTATTAAAAGTTTGTCTTTTGTACTTATTTAATTTGAATTCATTATGTATTGTATTCGGTGTGGTATGTAACAATCGGATCCACTTATGTAATTATTATATGTTCAAGTGTTTGGTATCAATCAATTGGTATTATTCTTAATATAGTGTATTTGTTTAGGTATTTAACTAAATGTAAACAATCTTGAAACATCTTTTTATTGAAACATACACTTTACAAATCAATAGGTATAAAAATAGGCATGCAATGTCATATGAAGCTAATTATTTGTACATTGTTTGGGAAAAGCACTATATAAACCTCGGCGGGGACGGGGATTGCTTGACCCGTATTATTTATTACACGGCCTCGCTGGCGCTCGGTCTTATAACTCGTACTCGTCCAGCAATCCCTTACTTCTTGGCCTCTGCAACGATGTACTAACAAAATACAGATTATGTGCATTTATAGTAACTACTTCTCAATTATTGTCATGCCCTAAATACAGGGCCCACAAGTGTGCTTAATATGATTCTATCATCATTTTTAATTGTGGAAAGCAATAAAATGATTGAGTCAGAATACGTTTTACGTTCCTTTTATGCATACTCGAAGCAGACAGGACTGCTAATCTATTGTGTTTTTTTATAAGTACTACCTAAATTGCGAGGGGGCGGCCGTGGAGCTAGTTAGATTCCGAAACCCTACTCACAGCCCGTTAAAGAAGTCATGATATGAATCTGAGAGATTCTTTAAAACTATTATAGAATGAAAGATATGGACGTAATAAATCCTTGAGGCGGCATGTAGCTGTCTGGCTTTCATTTCTAAGAGGTAGGTAGGTACATTTGTTAATAATTTAGTAGCATTACCTCTAGCTAATAATGAAAGCATCGTGATCAAACCTTCATATCAAAGAAGGTCCAAACCTTGGAGAATATGTGAAGTCACCAACCCATATCGGGCCTCTCTGGTGGACTATGGTTTCGACTATGGCCTTACAAGCGCTCTGCAGCGAAATTAACAACGAAGTGATCATTAGTGTTGTTGATAAAATAAAAAAATATAGATTCCATGTACACCATGTTTATTATATTATCATTAAAATGTATTATAATATAGTAATGTTGTACGTAATTTTATTTATTTTTTGTTTGACAAGTTCAGAAGAAAAAGGCCCTCGTGGTAATAGAAATTGTTGAATATTAACTTCTAGAAACGCTAAAAATTTTTTCCAGTTATTGCAACTGTGCTAAGTATAGACAACTGATTACTATGTATTTCAGTTTAAAAACCCAAGTATAAACATCATTTGGAGAATCGATGTCGTGTTTATTATGTAGAAAACGTGTATACAGTCTTTAAACCCGTTACAGTTGGTGAGATCTTCAATACCCAAGCATGCAAGTTGTTTTCACTAAAATATTCTACTGGCGCTGATGATCGGAAGATCTTCGTGAGGTTAACTTCAACTACATCATTAACAATCTGCGCCTGTAAATCATCAGATTTAAAATGAATATAACTATAATTATTAATACAAAAATCAAACCCTAAGAAAGATTCATTCGATTCAGCTGACAAGCAACTGAGCTGGCTGCGGAACGAACCCGCCTTTTTTCTAATTTTTCTATGAGCTCGTTGCAGATCTTTGTTCTTGGTTTTCGACTACTTTTTGCCGTTGCGCCATCTGTGAGAAATCTATGAAAGTGTATTCTTCACCTGGCCAGGTTTCCTTACAACTACCAGCGACTGACTAGATACGTTGCTTTTAAGTTAACTAATGTACGAAATCTTAATACAATAAAATAAACCATACAAGCGTACTCCAAAAATTCAGTAAATTCACCATCAATATACGTCAACTACATGGAAGAAAAAAAACATGGAAGTGCCTTAAGCCTCGATTACTATCAGAACCAATGTCGCCAAAACGCACAAATCTTGATATTGATTGGTCGTAGTTTCAAATTTAAAAAGAAAAAATAATACCCAACAGAGTAAAGATTAACCTACATTTTATTAACCGACTTTAAAAAAGGAGGAGGTTCTCAATTTGACTGTATGTTTTTTTTTGTGTGTATGTTACGCGATAACTCCGGTATTTGTGAACTGATTTTCATGATTTCGTTTTTTGTTGTTTAAAAAGGAAATGGGACCACTATAGAAGTACCCCCTGTACGTCTATAGTGGTCCCATTTCCTTTTTAAAGAAAATCATCCTCCTCTAAGGGTGGCTGTTCACGCATGAAGATTCATTTTTATAAATAGCGCCTAAATTTTACTAAGGAGCAATTATTTTAATGGTTGATTTTGCTATTTCTCCAACCCAATGCGTTTTTCTCTCCATATACTTTGAGTAGTGAGAACCGATTTTTATTATCTCCAGTGTCAAGTCCTGTATAGTGGCGAATTTAAGTTAAATTTAATTTAATTTAATTTTTGACTGCCTCTGTGGCCGAACGGTTACCATGCCGGACTGCCATGCAGAGGTCCTGGATTCGATTCCCAGGCCGGGAGAAATATGTGTATTGGCTACATTTATTTCTCTCGTGAGTTTGGGTGTAATTTGTGGTTGTCTATGTGTGTGTCCATGGCACCTGCGACACAGGGTTTCCCTAGTGCGGGGCTATGTTGAGTGTGTGCGTTATTATTATTATTATAATTATAAGGATATTTCAATAAAACTTAGCAAATAGACGTAATTCAACGTACTTTTGAGGTCGGTTTTTTTAGTCTCTGTACTGAGATTATTTCAAAGATATCGTTGAAAGTACAATACCATCAATACGTATTATTGCAAGTTACGACGTTTTGATATTATATTGAAATTTCAATCAATGTGCTGCCATCAAGGGGTTTATTGCTGAACGACGATGTATTGGAGTTATTAATTTAGTTCTTCAAAAAAGAAGCGACCATACTGCAGGGGTATAAGCTTTACTTTCGTTTCTTGTAACAAAAAAATTATTTCGATAAACAGAAAATTGAAAGTTTATTAAAATAAGAATAAATAAATAAAATAAGAGTATGAAATACCACCACGGGTAATATTTTTGGTACGGCTATCGTTTTTGCACTTCAAAATAGCACAATAAGGCATTCTTTTAGGATCTTAGAGAATTTGCACAAAAAATGACACAACCATACCATATAAAGCGAAAATGGCGGACTGAGCTTAGATAGGTTTTTCGAGATCTATAGTTGGCATGTGTCCGACGCTAAATAACCACTTCTACTGTATTTATTGTTCTGTAGTCAATTACTACAACTACTCGTCCAAAGTAAACACGGTAGTTCTGCTGTAAGTAATCGAGGAGGTGAACAGTCTGCGGACTACCCCTGTTGCAGCTTCAGATCAAGGTCATCAAATTATTGTAAGTCTCGAATTTCCAACTTCAACCAAATTTTAAGTCGATCAGACAAGAGGAAGTAAAATAAATATAGTCATTTTATGACTGAGACCTCTGCACTAACTGGCATGAGCTGATGGTCTTTAAACAACTGGCAGATGTTCAAAAACATAGCTAAGAATCACCATCACCGTTCTAATTAAATTGGACTTCAAATTAAAAAACAAAACGCTTTTAGATCAGTCCATACGTTTGACAGCTCAGACATAATAGACACATAGATACACTGCACACAAATGCTTCAAGTTTATATCTGCTCTCATTTTGCATCAGGGTTAAAAAGGAGGTGGGGAATAAATAGGTGGAGGGTATTCAGCGGTTGTAAATCCTATAATTCTATATGGAGAATTAATATCTATTTACTTCAGAATTTCAGCTACTGGAAGTGCTAATGAATCCCACAAGTCGATATCCCTTAGAGTGAAATATTTGGTATTGAGATTGAAAAAAGGCATGCACTATTTTACGTTACCTACAACCCTTAATAGCCTTTGCAAATAATAATAATAATAACGCACACACTCATAGACTCGCACTAGGGAAACCTTGTATCGCGGGTGCTATGGACACGCACATTGACAACCACAAATTACACCCTAGAAACACTTTTCCTGGCCCGAACCTCTACATACAGTGTTACTTTGTAAATTAAGTAAATGGCCTTGGAGGGTATCCACTTAGCTTACCTCTTATGTCAAGGACATACTTACGTTTACTAATGCATAGCCTTCACTATTTAAAAGTTTAATTTTGTTTTTTTTTCTCTTAAATGTAAATTCTGCATCTTTCATTTTCAATATGCCGTCACTTGGCCATTTCAAGAAAATTGCATAAACTGCTTTTATTGTGTCAGTTACATATGGTAAAGCTATGGGTTCTAATTGGTTGTATACTTTTTTGACACAAGTGTACCAAACGTCTGGGTTGAGGCTGTCCCTCTGATGGAACCAAGGCGAAGTATTATAGATTGCTTCGCCATTAATATCTAGCCATTGTCCTAATTGTAGAAGTCGCTCTTGAAAAACTGGTACTATGGTCCCTTCTTTCGTTGGTCCTACGTTGATTAGCGCATTTCCTAGAACAAAAAATCAAGTTTCATGTAATTATGAACACATAACTTGAGCGTAAGCAATTAATGCAGCCTGAAAACGAACGGTGTTAGAGCGAATTTATAAATTTTACAGTCTAAACTTTTCACTATAACATATTCACATAAAATGCTACTGACTCAACTTTCTTATATCAGTTTAGTCCAATTGACCTGAATAATTATTTAAAAGAAATATATTCCTTTAAAGTATTCTAAAAACAGTCCGTTTACTATTTTGGAAATTCGGGCACCCAACTCAACGACAATGTCAACGCAAGCTGGCTGCATAAGGCTTTATTACAATTCCTCGAATTCTTACCACCACAGCTGACCGTAGACACGATAGTTTCTATCAATTCATCGAAGTTGCACACATCATTTAACTGCATTTCTCTTCTATAACCCCAAGACTTCCTATCCAAAGGGAAAGCATTCTCCCATTTATGGTGCATCAAGGTTCCTGTAATGGTTAGGTGCTATGTAACAGTTTTTAAGAACTTTTTTATGGTATTACGTGACGGGACGAACAAGTCGTGCGCCTGGTGGTAAGCGACACACCTGTCCATAACAGTTGCAGTGCCGCTAAAATGGCACGGCCACTGCACCCGTCGCCCTGAGACATAAGTTGAAAAGTCCCACGTGCCTTCATCAGCACTCATACTCTTGAAAATGGGAACGCAATAATGCTCGCATTACTGCTTGGCGGCAGAAATAAGTAAGGCGGCATTACTATCCTGGACGAAACCTTTCACAGGAGCTCCACTGCTACTAAAAGTTACATAACTTATAAAGTACCTAAAAAATATTCTATTTAAACGACAGTTTCGTCGCGCTCGTGATATGATTTTACCTTATTAATCTAGAAAATCTGCCAACTTTTTTCTTGCGTGTGTGTGACCAGTGCCGCTCCGAGCTTTAAATGGCAAAGATCTGAGGGGCACTGCCACTGGGCCGGTCGCCTTGAGACATAAGTTGACAAGTCCCATGTGCTTGTAATTTCACCAGCACACTTACCTTACAAAACCGGAACGCAGTAATACTCACATTACTTTATACTCACGTTATTATCAACGTTAGAAATATGTAAGGTGACGGCAATACTTTCCTGGACGAACTGTTTTACAAGGAGCTCTATTGATACTAACTACATACACATTATATACTCCTATAAGGTTTCGTGAAAGGGATAAAGAAGTTTATGTCCGTGTAATAGGAACGACGTTTGGGCGTTTCGTTTCGGCTCAATCGCCGACGCAACGACAGTGGTCAACACGACATTGGTGCATGTCTTGTGCACTCTTGATGCATGAAACTTTTTCTGATTGATTCAAATCGCGGTGATGTGTGGTTGAGACGCGGTCAGAACAGTTTACTTGACAAGTAATTACAGTTCTGAATATATATTTCGTGTTGTACCTATCTACTGCGATGTACTTGATGATGATAAGTAGAAGGTTTAGGTTGTAATCGACTACGTTGTCCCAATGCTTTGCGGACATCAGACGTGTTCAAAACGTTAATAAAGAAGAACTAAACTAAGGCTAAAATCATGCTTACTTGGATTATATTTATCGTCGCAGTTGAAAATGTCTCCATGGCGACAGAGAGTACCATCGCCTAATCTATCATTTACTACAATCTCGTCCTTAACAGGACTCTCGTTGTAGAGCCAGGCTAAGAGTTCACGAGTTTTCCAGTAACTAGTATTAGCTTCACTCTCCCCATCAAACCAAAGCACAGAAGGTTTGTAGTTCTCAATCAAGAATTCAACGTCGGGCCAAACTATATTGTCAGGGTACAAAGTGGTTTTGAAATGTGCTTTTTTATCCCTTAAGTACAATTCGTTGTACCATTCTAATAGAGAGTAATATACACCAAACTTCATGTTGCGATTTCTTATAGCCTTTGAAAGAACTCTCAAAATGTCTTTCTTAGGTCCCACATCTATCGCATTCCAGTTAGGACGCCCTGACGGGAACAGAGTGTATCCATCGTGATGCTTAGCAGTGATAACAACGTATCTGAAACAAAAAGCGTGATAATTACTTTAATTAACTCTAAGTGTGTTATTGCAAACGATTTTTTTTTATATTTTGATGTGTAATTGACATAAGACGTATTCTATCAATGTACCAGCTGTATTTCAGTATTCCGTTCTTGAGATTAAGCGGCGTGCAGGTTTCAAAGAAACGAACTAGTATTATTTCTTGAAACACTGCTTTCCTCTTCTCGGCTTTGGTAGATAGACTGATTACATGTTTTAAACTAATCATGATTGATATTTTAGCGGTTAACAACTATAGAAATATAAATAAATAAAATAAAATAAAAATCTTTTATTTCGGACCACAGTAATCCATATATGTATATATAAAAGGCTGTATAGCCTTTTCTATACTTAGGGGGTTATCGACCGAATCGTAAATAATATTGTAGAACATTCGAATTAAATGAGGAATGTTAACTCGCCTGGTAGCAATAGCTAACGGGTTTTATGACCTTTTAAAAGCAGTACAGTAAAAATTGTGACGGTAGTCTATATTATAGATATTTTATTAGACATATAATTGGAAAGAGTCAATAAATTGATTACTGGAAAGAGCCCTGAGCAAGTATTGCATTTCTCAAGATTTGATTCTAATAACCATCATACATAATGATGATAAAGCTATGAGAAATTGGAGGGTTTGCCCCAGGTACATGATAAGTGTCGTAAATTAAATTGTTCAAAATGTTACAAACTTTGCTCCAGATGCGACGAAAAGGTCTGCCCATTGTTCGGGTACAAATTTTTCCGCTTTGAACATTGGCGCGAACTCTTCATAAGTCATATTAATGTGATATTCACTTTTTTTCATGAATTCCAAAACCGGTATGTCACCTTAAAAACATAAGAAATATTAAATAAATAACTTTTTTCTAAATAAAGTTTGCTTATGCACTTTCGTTGAGTTCATTTCCGCGATATTCGCAACTGTAACTGAAACGCACATGTATTTTAACTTTTTTTTTAAGTCCTCATCGAAACGAATCATATGAGCCCAAACACTAAACAGCTGCCGTATTCTGTAGGGGCGTTCCCCTCATCTGTCTGCCATTTCCATCATCAAATCAGCTCTAGGTCACCATAACATTTTATTTTCATTGAAATTACATTTATGTGCCAAGTTTTATTGAAATCGGCTAACGGAAAGTGAGTGTTTAATGAACTGGTTTTACCCCCTAATTTGCCACTCTTAGAGGTGGAATATCATCTTCAAATTTGAATGGGAGTTATCGGGTAACCATACTTATACAAATAAATACAGTCGAAAACCTCCGCGTTTTTTGAACTTGGTTTTTTTGACCAATACTTTTACCTCCAATTATCACAACTTTCGAATGTGAAAACAGAAATGGCATGCATTCTTCTTTCACTAATTTTAGAAACCTGTACAAATAATGGTACCTCTTTATACGTAAGAAAATATGTACATATTTACCGTCTTTCCAGTTTTTCCAAAACCATTCACTTTTAAAACACGGTACCGAATACACTCCCCAATGAAGGAAAATGCCGATTTTAGCAGAATCATACCACTGCGGCAGAGGGCGGGTATCCAGATCTTTCCAATCAGGCTTATACATCTTCCTTTTGGTTGCAGACGCAGTAATTTGATTATCTATGTTATATGACACTTCTTTGGAGTAAATTTCAAGCAAAATGCATAAAAAAATCAACTTCATTGCACTGTAAAAAATAATTTAAAATGGCGGGTCGTCCTGCGTTAGTCAACCGTGGCCATGGGAAATGCAAAGAGCTCGAAATGTTGGTTAGTTACGTGAATGTAGATCGGAAGATATAGTTTTATTTTAAATGTCTATAACACGAAAACCTAAAAACTCGATTTAAAGTGGGACTGAAGAGGAGTGCAGACGACTATCCCTTTTTGAGAAAAAATAATATATTTTTCACCTCACTAAGCTCGGAAAGGCACTTACAAAGAGAAATACTAGATAAATAAATATAAAAATATATAAAAAATTACGAGGGTCGGAACCGTCATATATAATTCTATTTAATGTATTTAGTCACATCGGGTTTGGTAACACATCTAGTTATAAACAAATCAGAATATAATTATGTAATTATTTTTTCACCTCACTAGCTCGGAAAGACTGTCTTTCTCATTAGAAATGTGCGCGCAAAAGCGTTTTTTGCACGCTAGCGTGGAAAAGGTTTTTGAAATTCGAACTTGACGATAGACTGTGCACCTAACTTTTTCTTTCGATGAAAAAAAAGGTGGTACGTTCAATTAAGCGATTGGTCGTACATTACTTATATATGTAACATAAGTCCGTTGGTATATTTTATTCTTATTAATGTTGATATTAAGTTGACAATGATAACTAATTGTGTTTATTAAATTATTTAATTCGTCGAAGAACTAAAATAACTTCAATAATCACTTAATCACACAAACTAAAGTACAGGCAAGAATAAAAATTGATGAGGTGTAATTTCAGAACGCATCCGAAGATAAACTTTTTCTTTTCATTAAAAAAGGTTTCATAGTTCAACTGTTTTTCTTTCATCTACCATTTCCCTCGCTACAGTGAGGTGAAAAGTTGTGTGTTTCGCGCGGCAGCAAAGTTGTTTTGCGTCTCGTGCCTTGAAATCCTCGCTACGCTCAGGAATCTATATTTGAACGTGTCATTATCTTTTTTATTTCATCGAAAGAAAACTTTACGTGCAACACAGATTTCATCATCAAATTCGAATTTCAAAAATCTTTTCCAAGTTAGCGAGCACGCTGATTTCTAATGAGAAAGACAGTCTTTCCGAGCTAGTGAGGTGAAAAAATAATTACATTATTATATTCTGATTTGTTTATAACTAGATGTGTCACCAAACCCGATGTGACTAAATACATTAAATGGAATTATATGTGACGGTTCCGATCCTCGTAAATTTGTGTATATTTTTATATTTATTTATACAGTATTTTTCATTGTAAGTGAATGTTTGAATTCTGTTTTGAGTTAAAAATGTCGTGAATCATAAACGATATATTAATATTAAGTTTATTAAAATTTTTAAAGTTAACTTGTATAGTTGATTCAATATTAACGATGTTCCACTAGACCTTTATTCGCAACAACATAAATTTTTGTTTGCACTACTAATTAACCGCATGAAAAAAATATTCAAAACAAGCGCAGCTATTTTGCACGATTTAACCTTCACTGGGGTCAAATAAATTTACTTTCGTTTTTATTAACATGGATTTCCTCAAAGTAAAGTCTGAATCTATTAATTGCAAATAATAATTAACTTACCAAGCTTCAAAATACGAACGACGTGTTAAAAAAATAATATATAGTCGGTTTTAGCTTTAATAATTATTAATAATTACTGCAAAAATATGTGCTGGAAAAGAAAACCACTTAAAGCCTGTCGCTGAAATAAACAATAAGCGGTATTAAGGTACTTATATATAGGCGTGGAATACAATAGATTTATGATATTATTGATATGACGTTATTATTATTTATATGGAATAATACCTCAAGCGCTATTCTATTAACTCAATGATAAATGAAGGCCTATTTTATGAAAAAATAAATCCAAAACAAGTAAATATTATTTATTATATTAATAACAAGATAAAAACGCCTCAATCAGGGGCCTGCGGGCCTACTACAACCTCGTAAGCCAATATTACTTTAACCTTACATTGACTTTTCGTACCATGACCATTGAAAAGTTGTTTCAGAGAAAAACATCCTTAAGCTTTTTGTGTGGTGAAATGTACATTTATTTTTTTCAATTCAAGATATAGGAACGTATAGTGTGTGTGGCTTACATACAAAAAGAGAAAAACATTTTTTTCACTAAAAATAGTTTTTTTAACAAAATATATATATATAATAAAATATTAATTGTATTGTAATTTAGGCAGTGTTATACCCGTTACTCAAAAGTAAAGTATAAACATAAAAACCGAAACTTTTGCTGCCATTTTACTCGAAAAGTTGCAAGTGTGCAAATGGTTTGTTTTTTCTTGGTAGAGAATGATTAGAACGTTTTTTATTCCATTACTTTGGGTCTGTGTGATTTCTTCTCTTCGTCCATATCTATAAGACAAATAGGTAGGCTCTATTAGCTAGGATGTTAATAAAGTAAGCTCTATTGGGATTTTTGGAATTAATGAGCGCCAGCATGTTTAAAATAGTAAGGTAAAAGAGAGCGCTACTGTGCACTGGTTTACGTCAGTTTTGTAAATAGACATTATATTATTTAAAAACCATTTTCAGTGTTTACCAACAATTGTGTGAAAAGTAAACAAAGGAAAAATCCCTTCGATCCGGCTGAACTCGAACTAGCGACCTTGCCATACCGGGGCTATCGCTCTCCCAACTGAAACTGCTACGGCAAAAAAATCGTTAAACCCAAAACAAAGAAATACCATCTTATCTACCATCAACACACACAAAATACATGGAAATAAGAATTTGCAGTACTTCTTACTACTCTTCACTACTGAGAGATCTTGACCACCCAAGCATATGTACTAGTTTCCGATGATATATTCACCAAATGAATTACCAATGTGCCTTTTGGAGAAATCTCGTGCTGTAAATAACAAAAATTAAACTGTATACTATGTTTCTTTATTATACAAATTGACGGGACGAACAAGTCGTGCGCCTGGTGGTAAGGGACACGCCTGTCCATAACAGTTGCAGAACCATTTAAGTGTAGATGATAAAATTTTATCAGATGACAAAAATTGTACGTTTCAAATCGAGGGTCTAGAAATAGATACATTTTACGTACACTTTTTCCTATGTTCCTATGTTCCTATGTTTCCTATGTTGTTGTTTATGTATGTGTTTATGTATTTCCATTGGTTCACCGCCCACTTAAGCAAGATAAAAAAATTTCAAAGTCCACCAACACAAAAAATAATAGAAAACACGTATGTTTTATATTAAGTTATTCCAAAAAAAAAACACAGGGAAAACATAATTTGTATATGTGGTGTAGTTTATATAGATTATTCAGGTTTTTTACAAATGCGTTAGGTAGCAACCCCGGGACAGCATCAACTCCCCAACTGTTTCTGAGGCCCCTAGAACTCTTCAGCGCGCCGCGCGCCGGCTGGAGGACGATAGGGTCCACTTTGGGAAACTATGGTATACGTTCAGAGGAAATACATATTTCAAAAAACGATTCTTTTATGGGGAACTGTATACGTTTTTACACTAAGATTCCGGAGAATATATTAAGATCATCATTTCCTAGTTTAAACCTTACATTAAAAGTATTTTAATTGAAAAGTCAAGTTTGTAATAACAAAATTGAAGAATATGTTTAGATAAAGAAGTATGGAAAGACAACAAGAGTCTAGATTCCACACAATTATGATTCAAAAGTGTGTTCCGTAGTATTTAAGTTTATTTGAAAAGAGCATTCCCTAGAGTTTCTTGCTCGTTCTCAGAAAGTTCGGCATAGTGAACTATGTTTGTGTTTGTTGTGTTTGTGGTTTAAAAAAAATGACGTTTTCAAGTGTAAAAATTTTACCTATGGAATAAATGATTATTTGATTTTGATTTTGACTCAAAACGCGCGTCACCGCTGCATGCGCGCGTCAGCGTTGCATACACCACGCACGTCCCCGCGCGTTCCGAATTGCAGGGCACTGACAGTGTACGTGCGCCCTAAGTCTGCTAATTTTAAATCATCTCAGTTGTGTCGATAGATGTCAATGTCAGTCTTTTGTACGTTTGGCATTCTACTAAAAGTAGTGGCTTGTCAGTGGCTATCTATTGAGCACTATTCAACTGCCATTGCATTTTTTTTTT